ATTTTTTTCGAAAATTTTCTTAGAATAATTTTTTAATGTTTTGGTTTTATTAGTAAACCTTTTTTTTCGAAAAATTGCAGGGGAAGAAATTTTCGTTTTTTTTTGTTTTTATTACATTGTAGTGAAATGAAACTTTGTTATTAATATTTTAGGGAAAATTGTTTTTCGAAAAACTGCAATGAGGGGCTGTTTTGTCTTAAATTTTAAGGATAATTTAATATTAATATTATAATTATTGTTTTTTTTAAGGGAAATTCGCTTTTTATATATTTGGGGGCAAATAAAGTTTTTAGAAAATATTAGGTGAAGTTTTTTTTTGCTGTTTTTGAAGAAAGAATTTTTTTCAAAACTTGTAGCGGAAATTATTTTTGTTTTTGATGTTTAAGGAAATTTTTTTCTTGATTTTTGCTTGAAAATTAGTGAAAAAATGCAGGGGAAGGAACTTTTTCGTATATTTGCAGAAGGTAATTCTATCAAAAAATTTCTGGGGAAATTTTTTTTTTCAAAATTTTACGAAAAGAAGATTTTCTTTTTTTGATGTCTTTAAAAAGTTTTGTTTTTTCTTTTTGCAGGGAAACAGTTATTTTGGAAAAAGTATGTAAATCAATTCATTAATTTATATATTAATTCATATCCAATGCAATTGTAGGCACATTTATTGTGCTTATTACTTTAACTCAAAAATTCAAAAATTAATGATTTAAAAAATCTTATGTACCTACATACGTACATATGTATATCTTCATCAACTATACATTCCATGCAATAAAATTTTCGACAGCTTTTCGTTTCAGTCATGAAAATCAACATGCAGTCAGTTAAAGCAATTACAAAAACAAAAAAAAATTTTAAAATCAGAAAAACTTATTGTAATGGATAAATAAATATTGGCATAGCATACAGCAACACTGCATGGATCATTTGCCTAAAGCAATATACAATTCACGCTTTACTGGCAATATAAGGGGCGGCAGGAAGTTTGTAAATGTTAGAAAAATTGAGACACATGGCGAACAGCATGCAGTTTCAATAGTGCAAACGAAAATCGATGGGCAATTGCAATTTTTAAACGATTAGCTTTTATAGTGGTGTGAGAAGAATTTTAGTGTTATATAAATAAATATGTTATATAAATAAATAGAGATTTGTTTACAAATTTCGGTGAATAAAATATGTAAACCATTAAAACATATATTCGTATGTGTGAGCACTTATACTGTTTAAATGCATAAGAAAGTTGGGGTCTTTAATAAAACTGTTATACAGTTCATTTTGGGCGAAAACGAGTAGGTTTTACAAATGAGATTTATACCAAACTATATTTGCATGTGGATATGCTTGCAACGATAAAACTGTGTAAATAACTGTTATAAAGTGTTATACAAAGTGCTATAAAGTGTTATAAACACAAGAAAATTGATATTGTTTGGCAAATAAACTCAATTCTCTTATAAACTGCAAATTAACTGAATTGATTTGACAAAAATATAGTGTTATAAAGTGTTATACAAACCGTTATAAAATAAATAAAAATGATAATAGTAAAAAAGTAGGCATAAAGCACTTCAAAACTGAAAGTGGTGCTACAAAAAATATTATAAAGTATTATAAAAACTGTTATAAAGTGTTTAACGCCTTAAAATTTATAAACGTAAGCAAATACGCTCATTCTGCTTAAAAACTGAAACTGTTGGTACGAAAGATGTTTCAAAGTGTTAAAAAAAACTGTTATAAACTGCAATATGTAAATAAAATTTATAACAACATGCAAAAAATTTTGTGTTTACAACTATTTATGAACAAATAAAATTCAAATGGTTACAAAGTTAATTTAACTTTTTCCGAAAGGTTTTCAAAACAGTTATCTGCAGCAAAGTGAAACATAGCCGGGAATAACAATTATTTCTTGTGAGTTTGAAATATTTTTTGCTTTTAATATTTTTTAATAAGTGTATAGCAGTTGTATAACAGTTTTATTTCTACACAAGCATATTTTCAAGTCTTTTTCAAGTTCTCCAGCAAAATATTGGGAAAATTAAAGTATTTTCTTATTGTATAACAGTTAGTATAACAGTTTGGAAATGTAATAAAACCATTTTAGTATAAAAATTAAAACAAAAAAATCCCGTAAAATTTAATGCGCTTACAACTATATACACCTTTGTTTGTAAAAAGACCTTTGGTATATTATATTACAGTTTGAAAGTCTAACAAAATATTTTTTGCTATTCAAATTCAAAAATGTATTAAAGTGACTGAAAATTTGTAAATATTTGCCAAGTTTTGTAATTTTACAACGTTTACTTACGCTTTAAAATACCTTCCCTTTAATAAAACAGCAAAATCCTTGATCTCAACGCCTGCATGTATGCTATCATTATATCAACATACAATTCCCTATACTCGTATATATGTATATTCAGCGTATATCTCACTCCAACAAATTCAAGTGAGTATAAAAGCAAACCGACGCATTGAAACAATCCTTGAAACAACGCCTAAAAGTATGCAAGCACTAACAGCTGTTCACATGAAAATCGTGAAAAATAGCACACAAAGTGAAAGCAAAGAAAAACAATTTAAACGAGGCGTTGAATGCGCTGTAAAAATACTTTCGCTATTTCGCCATTACAAAGCGCTTGCAAGCACGCCTACAAGTATGCTTGACTTAGCAAGGATTTTGACTGTAGTTCCTTTTTTTCTTATCGACAGAAACTGCAGTTGTGTTTTAGAGTTTTGTCTATTTTTTAGCTTTATGTGGGTTTAAAAATATTAAAAGCATTCAAGAAGTCTTGTGCTTAAAAAAGCTTTGGCAAAAAAGGGGGAATTAATGATGGAGGTTTATGTGATTATATTCGAAGTTTTCAAACTCGTTTTACTAACTCAAGTTAGTTGAATTAGTAAGTGTTTGCCAGAAAACATTTTTACAATATATTTTATGCGACAGATAATATATTTGTAATTATTTTTTTTTTATATATTTATTATTTTATTTATTTATTTTTTGATTTATTATTAATTTGCATAACCTGAACAGGCTATATTTAGTTTGCCACATTGTTTGTAACACCCAAAAGGAACGTCGGAGATCATATAAAATATATGTATATATATATAAATGACCAACCTGACGAGCTGAGTTGATGTGACCATGTCCGTCTATCTGTCTGTCTGTATATGGTATATGCGAACTAGTGTTTCAGTTTTTGAGATATCGATCTGAAATTTTGCAGACGTACTTTTCTCCTCAAGAAGCTGCTCATTTGTCGGAACCACTGTTATCGAATCACTATAGCATAGAGCTGCTATACCAACTGTGCGATCGGAATCAAGTGCAAGTCGCTTCACAAATACAAAGATTCCTTACATGAACTTGATTCTGATCTAATTTAATGAAGATACCTCGTCAAATAAAAAAATGTTCCATGCAAGCACTTAATTTCGATTGGCATGGATATGGCAGCTATATGCTATAGTGGTCCGGTTGAAGGCGCTTTTTCGATAGTTAATATTGTATGGAAAGGTTTTCCATTTGAGGAGATAACTTCATGAAATTTTGCAGGGGTTATTATCTAAGAAAAAAATGTAATCTCCGAAGAAATTGTTTAGATTGGATCACTATAACAAGTGCTTGCAAGGAATCTTTTGTGTTTGTGAAGATTATTATAGCTTCGTTAATATTAATACATTTTTTATTTGTGATTATTATAACTTTTAAATGAGTTTGTTCTTTATTAGTATTTTAATTTATTATTTTGATTTTTGTATTCAAAAATATTTATTTTTATATATATTTATAATTTCTACATATTACATTAAGTGTTTTTTCTTTATTTAAAATTTTTATTTTGTGTTGTTTTTTTATTTTGAAATTTCGTACAATTTCCTAAATATTTAGTTTTAATTTTTATTAAGTTTTCATTACTCTCTGTCAATTTTTTTTTTTTATTACTTTATTTTTTTATTAATTTTTTACTATTATTTTATTAATTTTTTATTATTATTTTATTGTTTTGTGTTATTTTTTTCCTTATAGCTTTATTCCCTTAGTCTTTATTTTATTTTATTGCTATATATTGCCTAATACATATTTTTTTGCAACTTTTCTCATTTTATTGTATATGATTATAATCTTTTGATGTCCTATTATTAATCCTTTCTATAACTTTGATGATCTTTTGCAATTATTATTTTAAATTTTATAATATTTTTAGTTAGTGTATACATATCCTTTTTATTACTTTCATGATTTATTATCAAACAAATTTTTAAATTTCATTATTTATTTTACTTATTAATATTTTTTGTTATTTTTTTGCCTTTAATAATATGTAGTAATTTTTATTGTTATAATATATTTTATAAAAAAATTTAGTTTATAGAATTTTTATTTCTTGCAGCTTTATATTATATTATAAGTTTATTTACTATTATTAATAGCAATATTTTACTTTTTTTTAAACTATTAATTTATTTTTATAATTTTTTTTTTGCTTATTTATTTATGTTCTGCTTATTTCTAAATTATTTATTTATACTATTTAGCGTTCTTTTATTTCGCTTAAGAAAAAATTAAATTTTTAATTTTGTTCACATATTTTTGCTTGCCAGGCAGCTTGTAGGCTTTTGTGAACTTTCCATATTTGTATACATTTCTTAATCCAACCCAGCGGCCACATACATCTACTTGATTGCATGCTTGCAAGGGCCAGCGCACGTGTATATACATATGCATGCTGCTAGGAATGTGTGCGCGTGTGCATGTGTGTGTGTGGCAGGACCACAAACGCTTACAGACATTTTCACCTTTGCCTTGTGAAAAATTTGCAAACATTTCGCTTTTCGTCACTGCACAGGCTATACATATACATATGTATGAGTATATATATATAAATATCTAAGCATGTGTAAACGTGTATATGTGTGAATACAGTAAATGTATTCGCGAATTTTTTCTACCATGTTTTTTACATTTTCGCCTTGTGCGCTACAATATTTACCTCATAAACGCCGCAACTGCTGAAGTAAATTGAAATTTTACACAAAACTTTGCATTTTCGCCACACAAATTCGCACGTTTACCGCTTGAAAATTACTTTGCACAACTTATAAGTTATGCGATTTCAATTTTGCCACATTTCCTGCATTTTATTTGCCACTTTTCCATCACTTTCTCGAATTAACTGCCTGTCTTAACTGTGTGTATCAGACAGAAACTAGAAGTTTTCGATTCCGTTTTTTGCGCGCTGCTGCTGCTGCTGCGCATACGGCCGCCGACGCTGAGAGACTGAACCTTCGTTCAGCGCGACACTCAGCACCAAGTCGCAGGCAATTAAAATACGAACGAGCGCACGAGCGTATGCTTGAAGCGAGCACTTTGTTTTGGCCTGTAACGGCGCTTGCGAAGGCGCCGAGCAACTATGCGTTTGTGAGCTGTGCAAAAACACACAGAAAAGCGAAAAGCTCGCCACGCGCTTCACGCTCAATGCGACGAAAGCTCCGCAACAGCAGGCGGTGCGCTAAGGGCAGCAAGCGAAACAAAGGCGAGTGCAATGATTAAAAAAAAATTATAATCATAATAAAATTAAAAGAGCGCCGCTGAGAGAGGCAGAGCGCAGCGCGTAAAGTGAACGCGGTGTGCTGAGGGTTGCATTTACCGTTGCTTTGTCGTTGTCACTGATAGCACTGCTACCTGCGTAATCATTATTTTATTTGTCTACTTTTGCGCCGCGTGAGCATAGCAAAGTTGTTGCTGCTGGTGCTCCAGCTGCTCCACCACGTCGCGTTGGCTCCATTCAAGCAGCTGCCACCTAATTAGACACCTTCTTTGCTGTTGCTGTTGGTCGCGCCATTGAAATATTTTTGCAACTTGTGCAAATAGACAATTTGTGGGCTCACATACACATTTAAGTATGTGTGAATCAGGCTCACATACATCTGTAAGTACTTTGGTATATGTTAGTGTATGTATGTAGCATGGAGACATGGAGTAGAATTGTCGCTTTTGCAATTTAATAGAAGCTGTCGTTAAAGAAACGTGACATTATGGGTTGCTTACGAGTAGTTATGCCCTTTATGGTATATACATACTATATGTAAATGTACATATTAATTTTACTAGAAAATATTTTTCCAAAAATGTCAGTAAAAATGTTTACAAATCATTTTTGTTTATCCTTTTTTTCTACATTTTTTGCGTTTACTGCGAAAACTTTCAATATGTTAGCTTAGGTTAGGTTAAGAGGGCGATCCAGAAAGGAATCTGTCTTGAAACGCCGGTCCGTTGAGGTATTTAAAAACTCCTATATACAGTATCATAAGACCCTAACAAATCAACAAAGGACCTATCATTAATTTGTTGAGACGGTTAAAGCCAGTTTTGGCTACGTCTTCTGGTTCGCCGAAGGTAAGGCTCCCGAGTTGTTTCAGCCTCAGTCATGCAATGAAGAAGTATATGTCAGAACCTTTTCATCTCATCTTCTTCTGACAACTAGGATCCGACAAGATTTTTGGCCTTAAAACATGAATACCTATTAGACAGTGTCCAATAAGAACTCCTACTTTGCTAAGGACAAGTAGTTCAGTATATCTCTTGCGTTCTACTCTAGACCAAAAGCTGAGCGCACGTAGGGTTCATTGTTCCAGTGCCAGGACGCAAGATGCCAATGGAGTTCCAACTCGGTCCCATTCCGATGTGAGCAGGCCCAGGGTGCTTTCTCTAGCTAGCTCATCGGCTTTGCAGTTGAGCACCTCTACCGCAATATAAGGCAACTGATGCCTTCCTTACTATCTGCTCCATATATGGCCATGAAAGTTTTGTATCAAGAAAAAGCTCTAGGTATTTCACCTTATCAACAAGTTCATGACGCGAGCCTATGAATATTGGGGGAGGAACGTCTGTGATTTTGTACCTTCTGGTAAATAAAACTATTTCAGTTTAAATTTTAGCTAAACTATGCATACGTCCAAAAGACGAAAATACTTTTTTTTTTGCCAAATTTTATGAAAACTTATAAAATATATATTTTATTGGACTTTTGTGTTTAAAAATGTTATAAATGTTGCGTGGGACAAAAATGGATAATGTTGAGAATTTTTATGAAAAAACATAAGTACATCCAAAGGATGAAAAACTCTACAAAAAAAAGAATAACTATTGTCAGCGTGTGGAATCCAAGTATGTACAGAATTATACGTCCAAAGGAAGAAACGACCTAAATATGAACATTATAAAATTTGTTTTGCGAATTTTTGTAGCTTAAAAAAAATTTTTTTAAATTGACTTCAATAAAATTTTCTACCAAAATTCATACTTTTTAGACACAAAACAACAACGCGGCAGTTCTTGGAGCAACAAATTATTATTTTCCTGTTTTTTATATCCTGCACATAGTATATTAAGTTTGCCACGATGTTTTTAACAACCAAAAGGAAACGTTAGAGACCCTATAAAGTATATATACCTATATATATATATATATATGGTAAATAATCAGCGTGACGAGCTGAGGCGATTTAGCTATGTCCGTCTGTATATAAGCGAACTAGACCTTCAGTTTTAGAGATATCAGTCTGAAATTTTGCACCTGTCCTTTTCTCATAAAGCAGATGCTCGTTTGTCATATATCGGTTCACTTTATCATATAGCTGACATACAAACTGAACGATCGGCATTAAGTGCTTGTATGGAAAGCTTTTTTATTTGACAAGATATCTTCAAGAAATTTGGTATGGGTTGTTGCCTGAGGCAGTGGTGTAATCTCCGAAGAAAGTGTTCAGATCGAGTCGCTATAACATATAGCTGCCATACAAACTAACCGATCAAAGTTCTTGTAAGGAATCTATTGTATTTGTGAAGGGTATTACAGCTTCGGTTCAACTGACGTTTACATTTTTTTATTTTTTTCCAGTGTACTGTGCTACACTTCATTTGCTCTGATTTTCAACATTTTTATTTTTTGGCTCTGAAATTTGACACCTAAATTTTCCAAATTAACATTAAGATCAGCTTCATATCGCCACTGCGCCTTAATTTCTACTCACTAAAACTGCTACAGTTGCCATAGTCGCAGGCCAGCCGATAAGAGACCGTTATCTTATTATTACTAACTTATTTAGTTGTTGCATTGCTTTTGTTTTTGTTGCGCTTTTGGGTGCTTGTAAGGCTTGCTCAGTGTCGTGCCAAATTTACATTGACCTTACAACTGTATATGACAACAACAGCGTCAACAACAACAACAACAAATACAATAACAAACGCTATTGCGGCTCTTCGCTGCTGTTGTTGACTACCTGTGACCGCCTACTGCGCAGCCAAATTACAAATACAATAAGTACATGCTATAATAACAACAACAAGAATTTATTAGCGATTTTGTGGCCAATCCGCTGTCTATGCGGCTTCCACTAAATACTTTAGTGGAAACTTTTAGCTGTTTGCTATCAGCTTAGCTGTGGCGACTTGTGTGGGCGGTTATGCGCGGCGTATGAGTGATTTATGTTTGTGTGTGTATGTGTGCGTGCATGCTTGTTGACAATGTGCAAGTATTTAGTTGCATTGACGAATGCTTTTGCCACGGCTGCTTTGGCCACGTTTGAGGTCAGCAGTTTCTTTTTTTTTTTTTGCTTTTACTTTTACTTAATTTAATTTGTGAACTTAAGCCATTTTGGCAGCACGAACAATAACAACAAAAAAAAGCAGTAGAATAATCGCAGCAACGGCAGTGAAAATGCTTAGTGCGTAGTAAAATTGACTGGGACAGAAAGGAAGCCGCAAAAAAAGACAGGCAGCGTGCGCTCAATGCTGTCTCCTCACCTTCTGTCAAAGAATCTCACCGGCAATACATATATTATAATTTAAAGCAGCTTACAGTAGTCCATAATCAAGTGTGTGTATCTTATAGCGCTATCATATCAGTAGTAGAGTCACCGACTTTATAAGAAGCTCAACTGTGCAAGTTGAACTCTCTCAAATCTCGCTCTGGTCAAAACGAATGACTCACTGAGGATTCATGAATATAAATCCTGGTATCTAACCCTCGGTTCCAAGAAAAGTTTTGGTCATCTGCAGCTTATCAGAACCCATTGTATTTGCTATGAATATCTTAAGAGTTTCCAACAAACATTGTAAACCAAAATTTTATTCTCGGCTGTGAACTCGCTGATCGGTCATATAATATAGTATGCGTATTTAAGATACTATTTTCACCGGAATTTAATGCTAACTAACGATCATTAAGAGTTCTAATCTCCGTAAAATCTCTTGCACCCTCTAACCTTACTAAAATGACAGCTGTCGAAGGTGAGCTTAACTAAAGACCGTTTCCTAATGATCTGATCTGAAAAAAAAAATTTGCAAACTTAATATACCCCATTATTCACATTCTCGGCAGCTTGTTGATTTAACTAGAAACAGAACTGTTTATGATGAGATTTCAGAAAGCCGCTCTGTATTAAGGAAGATCATTTGTTTAAAAAGAGTTTAGTAGGTTCGTATACTCTTTTACGTTTTTTATTATCTACTATACTGAAACCGCATCTTCTCATTGCTGGCGAAGAAAAGTAGTTAAAAGTGACAATACTTGTATGAACTTTCCCCGGAAACTCGCTGCTATGACTAGAAACCATTCTATTTAAGCTGCGCTTTATGGAAGACTCTCGGTCTTAGAAGATAGCATTCTTATAAAAAAGTGTTTAGTATGCCCTAATATTCTGCTAGATTTTGGAGTTCCGATCTTACAAGAACCGCATCTCCTCATTTATGTTGAAAAGGAAGTGTTAACAGTCTACTCACACACCACTCTCCGAAACTTATTGGCTTCACTAGAAAACCAACTGTTTAAGTTAAACATTATAAAAGACGCTTGATCTTAAAGGGAAATATCTGTCTAAAAAGGGTTTAGTAAGTTCTAAAGCTCTTGTCGGTTTTGACCTCTCGAACTTACTAAAACCTCATCTAGGTAAAATGAGATTATTTAAAGAGCTTGTGTTATAAAACCCAAGAATTACAGCAACTATGTGCTTACTGGTATTATTAGAACACTAATCAAGGGACAAAACCAATTTCCACATTATAAAAATGTACTATATTCTTTTTAGGCGCGGCAATCTTATTAAAAGTTAGAACTCGTTGAGCATGTAGGCACTCCTCTGTCCAAAAACAAACGTCAAAAGTTGTGAAAGCTACAAAATTTCACTTTTAGCGGATTTCCGAAACCAAAAAACGGCTCCCAGACTACTCTGAGTACAATTTATTCTAAAATATTAATAGGCTCGACAGTTTTAACAGACTTTTGGGAAGCTTTAATATAGATTTTATACCTACATCTATATTTTTTTTTTTTCAGTATAAAAAAAGTATTTTCACACCTCCACTGCGAAACACGTGCCTCCTAGCTTTCTTAGAAGCATACATTGAGGCGCAAAGTAATTAGTTTCCAAAATAGCAACGCACGCTTTAACAGGTTTCTATTTGCGTAAGATGTTAAGGAAGGAATACAAAAGAGGATAATCGATTGATAGTCGCAAGGCG